CTAAACAAATAAAACAATAGAAATTGAGGAAGTAAACTAATAGAGAGAGTGTGTGTCATTTTTATTTTTAGAATGATGGTGGTGTAATTCTTTTACTCAAATGTGACCTGCCTGCCTAAACAAATACCCCCACCACAGGAACCCCCCCCCCCAACCCACTGTGGCACAGAAGCCAAAAAAGTCCAAAAAGAAAAGCCCTGGCAGCTAAGTCTCAGCCAGAGACAACTCCTGCCCCCAAATAAGTACTTTTGGAAGGCAAAAGAATGATGGATCCAGCCACCCCCCAAATTCCCTGGGAGACACAAGCCTCTCTAAATTGAACTTTTGAAAACAAAGGCAAGCAGGGTCAGGCCTGGTTAAGTACAAGCATGGGGAAGCGTCAGAGAATACCAGGGTCTCTAAGGAGAGCTGGAAACCCTGCTGGAGATCCTGGGGCACTGCTGCCAGTCAGAGGTGATGGCATTGGACTGGATGGACTAATGGCCTGACTCTGGACAAAACAACTTCCTGTGCTCCTGTATAATGGAAGAGAGCCCAGCATCCTGACCTGTTACTGTGCAGCTTGAGTGACAGAAGCCAGTAAAGGAAGTGTTTTAATATCCTGAAGATAAGCATACCTCCCTCACCATTGAACTCGCTATAAAGGCACTTTATTATTCCTTCTATTTCTGATGTTCAGCCTGTGAGTGCTATTACTTTGTAGCCAAAATAGCACCAGCCCCCCCCCCCAACACACACACACACAAAGAAGAAGAAGGCATCAGCAGGCCTGAGGGAGCATCTAGGCTTTCAGAATTACATCAATAGTTCAAGAAAGATATCCTTCAGTGGCAGAGGCCCTAAAACGGAGCAGCTGGGTCTAGCTATGCTTAGTGACCCCAAAATGCTGATTAAGGGGAAAACCACGGATGGGTGGAACGGAACACGTTATCCAGAACAGAAGAAGCACTTTGCGATTCAGTGTTTCATTGCAGGTCCTGCTTTCTTTTCAAAGATTTGAATGCCGTGTTTCAACTTATTTAGTTTGATTTCTGAAAACTATGATGAGGGAATGTTTTTATAAATAGTCTTGGAAATTGTGAGTAATATTTCTTTATTTCAGAAAGGGGGAAATGGTGGTGTGGAGAGAGAAGGGAAGTGACACATCAAGGAATAAGAGGAAAGTCTGTTTCTATTCTCATTTCCTTCCCAGCTGAGAAGAGAAAGAAGCCAGCTCTCCGTCCTTTTGCCAACCCAGCTGGGCCTGTTTGGGACACATGCATGGAAAATGAGTGTTCATTGTTGTGAATTGGATTGTCCTTCTTTCCAGACTTAATGGCTGAAATCCATTCTATTCATGTGCAACGCAAAGTTGGGCACATACTGTATTAGGTGAAGTGTGGTAGGGTGGAAACGAAATGCACAAAGTAGTTCCACATTTGTGCCATGCAGTGAGCAAACTGGGAGTGATGTGGTTGACTGTGCAATCCAGTTGAGCAATCTGGAGTGCCTGGGTGTCATGCTCAGCATGCTTCCTCTGGCATAACTTTGCATTATGTGAAAATGAACAGGATTTCGATCTTCATTTTGCAGCAAGCCTAAGGGTGGTGGTGGTTTGGTTTTATTTCAGTACTGGTCCTCATCTCACAACCACCTGGGAGAAGTTACGTATTTCATCTTTAGGTACCCATTCCTGAAACAGTTTAGAATGGTATATAATCATCATGATGATGGGCTGTCATGTGAATTCTGACTTATGGGGACTGTTTTCAGGATTTTCCAAGTAGAGAATACTCAGAGGTAGCTTACCATTCCTTTCTTCTGGGGATGCCCTGGTACTGTGCAGAGACCCAGTGGGGAATCGAACACCCAACCTCTGGCTCCACAGACAGATATCTAAACTACTGAGCTATTCAGCCAATAGTCATGATTCTTTTCCCCTTTCCATTTTATGTTTCCAGCAACTACCCTATGCAACGTGCTAGACTGGAATGTTAGTAGTTATTGTTACTATTATAAATACACTTTGGGCTTCTCAGCATTTCTGGTGCAGGGAGCACCAGGTGGAAGCCTTTAATTATCAAAAGTCACAGTTGCTGGAAAAAGTCATCTTGCTGGCAGAGATTTTCTGTAATTAAAGATTTGCCTCCCATCTCATTGCACCCCACAGCTTCCCAGTGACAAAGGGGATTTCATTGGAGACTCTGAATCTTCAGAGAGAAGAGGAGTTGGAAATCTCTATGGCTGATCACTGGATCTTCACAGACTGATCAAGTCCATGTTCTACCTAGGAGGCCCCTAAAAATAATTAGTTACTTCTGAGAAACAGAAAAGGAAGGAGTCATTTTTTAAAAAAGCAGCTATTACAATAATTAACTACTGTTTGTAACTGAAGAACTGCCAATGTAACTAATTATAATTTTAAAAGTAGCTTCCCAAACTCTGCATCAGCTCTCTTAGGGGGCTGGTGACAAATAATAAAGGAATTCCTCCAGGATTGAAATAGTCAGATTCATATTATTTTCTGTTGACTACAAGTCAATGTAAATCAGCCTGGAGTTCCCCCACTCCCATCTATACATTTTTCCTCCATCACCTTTTGTGCAACCAAATGCATTAACATTGATTCAGACAGTATTGTCTCTAGCTGATGCAGAAAAGCATGTGCAGGGAGGGTTGCTGGCGGTTGGTCAGGTAGGGAAAGAGGAAGAAAAGGAGCACTCATGGGAGCATCAGTTCCCTTCAACTGAGCACTCCTTGGTTGTCTCCAAACTTCCTTCCTTCAGCTCAGTACCAATGCTGGAACAAAATTGCACTTGGCACCTAGGAGACCCAAAAAGAGAGAAAGGGGGATGAGGAAATTGCCAAGCAGCCCCTGCTTGCAGCTTGTTAGGCAGCTTCTGCTGTCGCTGTGCATCCTCCAGATCTGGACGGCTGCAGCAGAGAAGCTGCCTTAACAAGCTGCAAACGGGCTGATTGGCAGTTTCTTCCTCTCTTTCTGCTGATTCCTGTGTGGTTGGCTAAAGCAAATTTATCCAGGGCAAGCTGACGTCCTGAGTACGACTTCACAGAGGACTGCATTTTTGCTGCTCTATAGGTTGCATCCTTGTTCATCAGTACTGCAAGGAGCCGTAGTTGATCTCAACTCCCTAGTACATATTTCCATATGATCCTGTATATCCCTGTGATACATAAAGTTGAAAATATGCATGCTCGTGAAATGGACCTCTAGCAATGCAGAAACACGGCAGCTTTTGACAATACAGTATGTGAAGTGAGGCCATAACCTCCCCATTCAGCTTCTAGCAATTCACATGGATACTGCCTGAAGTTGAATTCACATAAGAACATGCAAACTGTAGGTTTCTAAAAGTCGCCTTTCAAATATTCAGTGAAGTACCATCCACTGAATCCAAAACTGACTGCACATCGGATTGGCAGGACTTAGTGTCTGAGGTCACCCTGTAAATTTAAACAGAGAAACAGCAGGGGAGGGCAGCTGATGGTGTGCGGAGTTTTTTCTGCTGAAAATTTGCTCCTGGGCTTTTTTTTAACCATAGGGAGAAAATGGATGAGCAGCTTGGGTGGGAAATAATTGGAAGTGAAAACAAATAAAGCTATGTTGTTTGGGAAATGTCAAGATTAGCCTAGGTTTCAGAGGCCTATAATAACCACTCACCAATGCTAACCTGACATTCCTGGTGTGAGTAAAGTTACAGGAGGGCAAAATGTGCTGGTGGCTGGGGAAAATCATCTTACTAGGCATGCTTTCAATGCCTTAGTCCAGTCTGACCTAGCAGTGCTTCCAGGGAGTTACCAAAGATCTACGTTATTGAGCGCTTTGACTCTTACATCAACCCTGCAAGATAGGAACACCAAAAATACCCACAGAACACTCAGGCTTCTGGTAGATAAGGCAAGCCTAGTTTTATGTAGGCTTTACTCCAAAATGACTAAACAGTAGTAAAAATTTTGTATTTTACTACGGGTGGTGTAAAAAGACAAAAGAGAAGAACTTCAGCACAGCTTCAACAGTTATAGAATAGTCAAAGGCTTGTGGAGTAAAATAAGCAATCAGAAGGTGTGAGGAAGCAATAATTCCAGAACAATCCCTCAAGAAGATACGAAAGCGAGCTAACCTAAACAAATACATCCTAGCAGACCTTTAGAATAGTTCCAGAGCATATGCAGAGTGCAAGTGATGTACTGTAACAGATCAGCTGATGAGCATAACATTCTCCTAAGAGATAGCTAGGCTAAACTAAGTAAATTTCCCCCCACTTTTATACCAAAAATGCCAGTTACCAGACCTATCCAGAAGATCTAACAATCAGGCGTCAAGTTTTCCTGGTCTTTAATGAAGAAGAAAGTAACTCCTGTCCTCCCATCCCTTCACTCAGCTGAAATCATTCTGCTAATTAATTCTGTACCAGGGAGCAAGCTTAGTCCGGCCTTGAAGCCTCCTTTCTCACAGAAATAAGATGGAGGTGTTTGCTGCCTCCCAGTTAACGGTGGGCACTTTCTCCCCCTTCTCTTGATCAGTTCATCCAGAAGAGCAACAGAAACCATGATCCCCTATTTTTCCAATTTCTTGACAGGAAGAGCATTCAGGATTGCTTTGGTTACTAAAAGTAATGGGGAAAAGATATAAAAACTTCATGTCCTTTCTGACTGAGGCCTTAAAGTCTCTCGTGTTTTACAAAGTCTGATTCAGGCTTATAAATGGTCACAGGTCTTGCAGCCTGTAAAGGTTGCCTCCTGGTGATGGGGCAAGAGAGCTTTTGCAAATCTGTCAAGAGTCAGTTATTTATCCTTTATGTCATTGGTGCCGCAAGTATCTAACAGATGGACAGGCTAGTAAAAACTGAAGCGGGGGGGGGGAGGACTTATGGGAATAATTATTCTCTCTCTCTCTTGTTCACTTGTCTGTTCTTCTTCCACTGTGCCTTTAGATTCCTCAGCATGACATATTTTCTCCTGTCTCATCTTTTTAACCCCCACTCCCATGCCACCCTTTTTAGGGAACATCAGTCTTCGTTATCATCACCAAACTCATTGTGACAGAGAACCAGGTACAAGGCTTCTGCCCTGAGGTAAGAAGGTGAGGGAAGAAAGAATCAAGGGATGTGGTTTCCCCTGCCTTGGGCAGATTCTCATGGATCTGGGGGTGGGTAGGCAAGGTTCAAGACTGTAGAGGAGCTCAGCCTATTGTGCTGCCTCCCCCAAATCTGCTATTTTTGAAAGGCTACAGAGGGACAGGATGTGCCTAAAACTGCAGTACAGAAAGTCTAGCTCAGGTTGATTGGCAGTGAGCCTCCAAGAGTTCAGAGCAGGATTGTTTCCATCCAAACATGGGACCTGGGACCATTTGTATGCTAAGCACATGACCTACTATTGAGCTTCAGTCAACTGGAAACCAAGCCCTGTGAGGAAAGACTGAAAGAACTGAGCATGTTTAGACTTGAGTAAAGAAGGGTGGGGGAGAAATATGCTAACACTGTTAAAATACTTGAAAGATTGTCATACAGGGGAGGGGCAGGATCTGTTCTCTATCGTCCCAGAGTGAGGATTCCATAATAATACGCTCAAGTTACAGGAAACCTATCGGGGGGAAAAATCCTGTTAGAGCAATACAATTTCCGTAATAATAGGTTCAAGTTACAGGAAACCTATCGGGGGAAAAATCCTGTTAGAGCAATACAATTACCAATTACCTCTGGAGGTGGTAAGTGCTCCAACACTGGAGGCATTCAAGAGAAAGTTAGACAACCCTCTGTCAGATATACTTTGATTTGGATTCCTGCATCGAGCAGGGGGTTGGACTTGATGTCCTTTATCAGCCCTTTCCATTATTCTATGATTCCATTATTCTAAGTATTTGGTGACTTATGGCTGATTCAAGAAGTGCCACCTCCCATATCTGTCCACAAGCTGAGCTCTTACGTCCTCTGCCCATCATAATCTGGCCACTTATGGCAGGTGGGACCTGGGAGAGCAAAGTGAATACTTTCTGAGAAGTCTATACATCTCAGAACAGCAGCAAGGGGACAAGATAAAAATAGGGGAAAAAATGGCAGAGATTTATTATCTCTTCACATATCTGCTCTTTTCTGTTTCAGAATCAACCAGAGTACAAGTGTAAGTCAGACAATGATTGCAAGAGGCCTGTTCCCACCACTGGAGGGGGTAAGCAAATTTGGCCCCCTAATGAGAACAGAGGCAAAACGAATTGAAGGCTAGCACTCGCCGTTGCAATGTCAAAGATGATGCAATTTCTCTGCAAAACAAGGTGCATGGGTAACAAGCATCTTGTTTTAAGCTGAATCGTGGTTCTAGCAATGCTGTTGGGCTTGAAAAAATCATCCCCCCCTTTTCTGACACCACAGTGCATTTTGCAGCAGACGGGATGGAGGAATTCATTCAAGGTCATCAAAAACAATGAGCCGGGCATACGTACATATCCCAGCAGTGGTTTGCCGTTTAGATATGGAAGATTAAAATGTTATAATTTGCATTGAATCTGTGGAAGAGGCTGGACTAAGAAAAGTCAGTGTGGCACACAGAAAGTACACCAGAAACTCCCTAGTCTTGGAGCTCAGTGTTCAAATCCCACCTATGTCAATGTACTTTGTCTGGGCTTTGACAAACTGTTAGTTCTCAACCTTGGTATGTCTTCTGTCAAAGTGGAAAAATCTCTTATATTTCTGAGGAGGGGAGAAACCCTTCAAGGTTTTCAAGAATGCTCTACATATTGTAAAGGCTATAAAGTGCTACCATATTTTGCCCAAAATAAGACAGGGTCTTATATTACTTTTTGCTCAAAAAAACATTAGGGCTTGTTTTCAGGGGATGTTTTATTTTACATTCCTGTCATCTTCTGGTTGCTGCACAATGGTGGAGGGTGGGTCTTCACTTAACTGGGGCTTATTTTTTGGGTAGGGCTTATATTTAAAGCGTCCTGAAAAATCATACAAGGGCTTATTTTCAGGTTTAGGTCTTATTTTAGGGAAACAGGGTAGTAGTGAATTTGCTCCAGTAGGCAGATTCATAGTTGACCCAAAACAAACAGTTGACACTAAACTTGACAAGAATAAATTCTTAACAGGTTGTTAGAGTTAGACTTCCAATGGACTGATCTAAATGTGCAATGTACACATTTGTTCAGCGCTAAGACCTTCAATGAACACATTATAATGAGCTAAAAAGTGAGAGGTCCAGCTGGTTGTTCTATTTGAGATGCACATAAATTCCTCAGCAGGCTTTGAAAGAACAGGTGGATCATGCTGGATTTTGATTTTTAACGTAATCTTTACACGAAACGCTATTTTCTTCTGCAGGGATCCTAACGGGTCGATGTGTTAATTACAACGCCACTTTCCGTACTTGTCAGATCCAAGGCTGGTGCCCAGCAGAGGTGGACAATGTTGACGTGTAAGTGCTCATTTAGAATAGCCCATGGTTATTTCAAAGCAAAGGGATCACTGTCTGCATAATGAACCCTTTGATAGGAATTGGGGCAGCAGTAGATTGCCTTGCCTTCAATGGCAAGAGTTTAGGCTTCAGCTGTGACTTGAGCCCCATCTCTGGACATTCAAAACCAAGTTCCAATCTCCAACTGGTTCTAGCCAGTCAGTGCAAGATAGAATCTTAGCATCTCACAGAGAAGCGTAGCCCTGCCCTTGATGTAATATGAGGGAATCCCTTTCTCTGTGGTCTTCATAAATGGATTGCTGAAATGTATTTAAAATCAAATAAACAGCCATGTTTCACTGTCAAATGTGGTTATCTCATCTGCACCCACCAGTATTTGTCTTAAATCAATCTAGGAATGTTGCTTGCAGGAGTGGGGAATAGGGGACAGAGTCCAGATCATTGGAGACCAATCAGGTATTTTTGTTGACCAAATTCTCTGTCTGGAAGAGCCCTGGGTTGGTTGAAGGGTTCCCATTGACATCAGTCATGGCTTCCCCCTCCTCTAGTGCAAGTATCAGGTCCTTCCCAGTGTGTCTAGGACAAAATGGATTTCCAAGGATAAGAAATAACTCTTGAGAGGAAGTGTCTTTCTACTAGCCTTTGCTTCCTAGATTCACCTCATTTCAAGGAACTGATTTTAGTCATTTTTCTCCCTACAGACCTGTCATGCTAGAAGCAGAAAACTTCACACTCTTCATTAAGAACAGCATTCGCTTCCCACTGTTCAATTTTGAAAAGTGAGTAAGGGAACTACAATCATAAATTGGAGCTCAAAATGAGTGTGTTCAGGAGTTTGATTTCCGGCAAGTTTTTGATAGAGTTGGTTGAAAATCATCTCCTGGAAATGCCTTTAGGACACAAATTTCTTCTCAACATCCTGCATGATGGGCTTTGCAAATGGCCCCATTTAAAGAATGAGAAGCAGGTGCACAATAGCTGTCCTACCACAGTCCTAGGTCAGAGAAACACTATGCACCAAAAGCAGGGCTTATAACACAGCCATGACCGACACTTTGTGATGGAGTGCAAAATTGCCATCAAACATGTTTCTGTGGAGACTAACCATTGTCCCTGTTTTCACGACAAGCTAGAGAAGTTGTAGATCCAGCTGCGGTTTGTACACTGGCAGGAATGTGCCTTACACAGAACTGGTTTTCTCACAGACCACACACCTCTTTATTGTAGACTCCAAAATGGAGGGGTTGAAATATTTTGGAACCTCACCTCCCAGAATCCAAACTCAGCTCATGATTTGGGATTGTGGGAGATGTAGTACAGAGCAACTGGAGAACCAAAGGTACCTTATGCCTGCTGTAAAATCTAGAGGTCAAATGTTTTGCGTTCAGGTGCCAGCAAGCATCTGACAGCAAAAGGAGACACAAGTCCAGGACCCCGTGTAGCAGATCTAGGCAAGCCATCTTGGTGTTGCATTTTTGCTAGCTATTCAGGAGAGTGATGGACCACTTGTTCTATCTTCAGCCCTGTCATTCCAAGCAGGAGGTAAGGTTGGATTCAAGAGCAGGTCCCTTTAACAAACTGCCTACAATTCTTGGGACCAGTCTCATTCACACCATCATTCAACTCCAGTTAGTGCAAGATGAAGAGATTGGTTGGGAAGCAGTTGGAATCTTGGTTTTATTGTATCTCGCTCAGAATGGTCCCACCTCTGTCCTTTCCCTGCTTCCTTTGGGAGACCAGCAGTTTTCATCTCAGCGTGGTTTCCTTTGCCTCCTTTGCAGGGGAAACCTCCTGCCCAGCCTCACCAGTGAAGATATTAAGACATGTCATTTTGACCCTGTACGGCAACCCTTCTGTCCTATCCTGCGCCTTGGGGACATAGTGAGATTTGCTGGCCAGAACTTTTCCACACTGGCTGGGACGGTAAGAATGAGTGCTGGCAATATGTGACATTGGCATATGCACTCTGTGGCCATGGTGGGGTGGGAGGGGTGTTTTGTGTTGGCTTTCCAGGGTCTAGGTTTGAATCTTCCAACTCCTACTCATCTGCAAAATTCTCTCAGACTCTTGGGGACCATTACTTTTACTCAGACTAGCCTGCCTTGCACTGATGTAATGCTTGATCTCTGACCTCCTTGGGAAATACTTAGGGTTAATTTAGGGATGGGGAGTATGCGGCCCTCAGATATTGATGAGCTGCTGTTCTCTTATTCTTTCACCACTGGCTTGTTGAGCTCATTGTGATGGGCAATACAACCCAACAATGTTTTCCTGGCTACACATTCTCCTCACCTCCACCACCCCCCATCAATATCTCACAATGTTGTGTGGGAGAAAGGTGGGAGAGAATTTACACTTTAACTAGATTTTGTTGACTCAGATTGTATGTTCCAAGAGTCAAAGAACATGAAGGGCAATTAATCTGCATTGGGTAGTCTTAAGGATGTGCTGTCAGAATCTGTTTTACATTCCTTGCCCTTGCTTACTAGATGGGAACTGCCTGCTTTGCTCAGTTTCTCATAGAATTGTGGTTTCGTTTTGGCTTTCCCTCCCTCTGTGCAGGGTGGAATAATAGGGATCAAGATTGGATGGGTGTGTGATCTGGACCATTCTTGGGAGCACTGCATCCCTAGGTATTCATTTAGTCGTCTTGACAGCGTCTCTGAAAAGAGCAAAGTCTCCCGCGGATACAATTTCAGGCAAGTCCAAACCTCCCTCCCTTCAACTTTCAGTCTGGCTTTCTCTTAAAAACATACTGTCCCTGGCACTCACAAGCCTAACCCCTGGCCTGGTATTGTTACAGGGACACAACATTTCATCAACATATAGAAGATACATCTACTGTGAGCATAGAATGTTTGCACAGATGTGTGTGTCCTTTAGATTTAAAGGATGAAGGGGAAAGGTGAGGGGGGTAGAATACATGGTTTGCAGAAGAAGCTGTCCTGTTCAGCTCAGGCCATCTCTAATTAAACAGCCAGGTGAGAGGTAGAAGATGATCAGGAAGATCCCTTGGCCTGAAATTCTGGAAAAAATTTTTACCGGTAGAATAGGCAATACTGGGTGAAATGGAGCAATTTTCTGCCTGCTTCCTATGTCATTTGGACTCATAGAGTCCTTAAACAACTTCATTTATTTCTCATGGCATTTTAGTGGTTGCTTTACTGTACATGACTGACTGAGTGACTGACTGATTATACCACACAATTAGTGAATTAACACTATTCTGGATGGTGTACAAACAAGCAGAATCCCACAACCCACACCCACCTCATTCCCATAAAAACATAATGACATAATCAAAATGGCAATACTAAGTGATTTGAGTGCAGTAATCTAGAGAAACCTGAGGTTCAACTGTTGAGGCAAAAGCTTGGAAAAGCCATTTTGTTGTTGTTGTTGTTGTTGTTGTTGTTGTTGTTGTTGTTGTTGTTGTTGTTGTTGTTGTTGTTGTTGTTGTTTACCCTCTATTTCCCAGAATCACCAAGCCATCATAGACTGGCTGTGCTAGTTGGGGGATCCTGGGCACAATACTCCAAAACGTAACTTCCAAGTTTTGGTTGAGGCATACAGACTGTCCTAATGCTTTCAAGCTGCACATTTACTCACTGACTCTCCCCTTGTGCCACTCAATGAAGGCCAGATCCCCAAAGCATACTCTGTGGGAGAACTTCACTGTTACCTATGTACTGCATGACAGATACTAACACTTGTTTGCTGTTGGACCATATATATGGGTGGAGATATGCTTTTCTTTTTGCCCCCAGGTATGCCAAGTACTACAAGCAAGAGAATGGTACTGAGTTTCGCACACTGATGAAGGCATATGGCATCCGCTTTGATGTTCTGGTGTATGGAAATGTGAGTGACCATTTGTACAAACAAAAAATTGTATCTACGGAGAGACCTTCTGAGAAGTCTTAAATGTGAGCATTTGAGTCTGTCTAGAACAGATAGTATTCAGTGTGGGTGTAGTGGATTGAATGACAGACCAGTACTCTGCAGGAGGGGGTTCGAATCCCTGCTCAGCCATGGAAACTCACTGGGGGAGTAGAACTGTTAAAACCACTCCTTAAATCCCTCACTTACCTTGAAAACCCTATTAGGGTCTCTATAAGTCAGTTCTGAATTTATGGCATATAACAACTCAAGAGCAGAGGTAGGCAACACATGGCTATCCACACAATTTTGGCCTGTAGCCCCTATCAACCCTAGCCAGCATAGCCAATGATGAAGGATTATGGGAGTTGTAGGCCAAAAATATTTGAAGATCAGAATTTTCTATCCCCGTTTGGAGAGTAAAAAGCCCATATACCCATGCATGTATACAAATAATAGAATGTTCCTGCAGGGTAATTGGTGAAAGTACACTAATTAATGTGACCAGACTGGATGATTGTTCCATGTTGATTCATGCTCCCTGTACTACATACCAGAGCATACCAGTTATATGAATCATACATCTGACTTTCTTTTAGCAAAGAATTCCAAGATATGCAATGCTTCTTCTCTACCCCACTCCCACCCATACCTGTTTACACTCCTTTTTATACCTGGTTCCTGCCCACCTATAGCGCGCCCTGGTAATAAATAAATATAAACTTCAGGTTTTGCAGACCTAAAAAATGTTATGTGCCTGTATTCAATACTTTTGTTGCATTTAGTTGTTAACTCAGCATCTCTTCTCTTCTTTTCTTTTTCTCACTTGTTTTGACAACCAATACAGCAACAAAGTGGTTTAGCAGTATATGAGTATAGTGCAAAATGTGAACCAGAGCAATCATTTCAGTTATAATTATGATCTGGGGAGACATCGTTTTCCAAAATGTTTTGTTGTACATGTGTTTCAAATGTCCGTTGTATATATATACTGTATTTATATATGCTATCTTGGCAGGCAGGCAGGCAGGCAGGCAGGCAGACGATCGATCGATCGATCGATCGATCGATCGATCGATCGATAGATAGATAGATAGATAGAACCATGATAGCCTTGAGATGATTTATCAGGATAGCAATTTAGCACAAAACTTGTTTAAACTGTCAACTGATACAGTACTAGAATCTTTGCAGATTCTATTTTAAAAAACCTGTAAAGGAAAGTTATTATTATTTTATTAGCAGTGCAAACTAGTAGATGGGAAGAGGCAAAAGTGTTCATTCCCAGATCATGCTTCACTGTTATTCCCTTCTCACTGCTGTATTAGCCCTTATTTATACATGCTAACTCTACCTTCTGTTCTTCCAGGCTGGGAAGTTCAACATCATCCCTACCCTCATTAATACTGTAGCAGCCTTCACATCGGTTGGGGTGGTAAGCAATTTCTCTTGTCTGCAGTTTTGTCTTTGCTCACTCTACACTGCAGAGTATACAGCACTAGTAGTAGTCTCTAGGAGAGAACTGCCAACCCTTTGTGGGTTTGGACACAATCTACTTGGTTCTCAGAATTTCAGATCTCAAGACTGTTGCACCTGTTGGTGGTGCTGGAGGTTACATTTCTGTCATCTTAAAAGCTGCATTTTATACACTGACAGGGGTCTTCCTTCCTTACTTACTTCTTACCTACCTACCTGCCTGCCTGCCTGCCTGCCTGCCTGCCTGCCTGCCTGCCTGCCTGCCTGCCTGCCTGCCTGCCTGCCTGCCTGCCTACCTACCTACCTACGCAGATGAATAGTACTGTTTCTGCTAAAGGTGCCAAGGAATATGTTACTCTGATTAAGGATGAAGGAGTGTCTGATTTCTGGAAGCTCCCAAGGCATTAGTTCCCACTTGGGCAAGAAATCCATTTTTGTCTGAAAATTTTGATCGGCGTGCAATCAAAAGTTAGGCCAGGTATTATTCATTCTGTTAACATGTTGCCTTCTTGCCCTCAAGAGACTGTCTCTCCTCCTCTTTTCTCATTTTAGGGGACTGTCCTGTGTGATATCATTCTCCTAAACTTCCTGAAGGGAGCAGATCAGTACAAAGCCAAAAAGTTTGAAGAGGTGGGTCTGTGAAGGTTATACAGTTATCATTGTCCCATCTTGGCCAGCAAGAGGCATCCCTGACACAACTCTGATACAGCTCTGTCCTGCCAAATCCACACAAATCCAAATCCATTTGCTCCTGAGTGTATGAGAAACTCATACTTTTGGGAGGCCTTTTTTATGTGGTGGTGCTGTGGGTTAAACTGCAGAAGCCTCTGTGCTGCAAGGTCAGAAGACCAGCGGTCGTAAGATCGAATCAACGCGACGGAGTGAGCTCCTGTCGCTTGTCCCAGCTCCTGCCAACCTAGCAGTTCAAAAGCATGTAAAAAAGTGAGTAGATAAATAGGTACCACCTTGATGGGGAGGTAATGGCGTTCTGTGTCTGGTCGCGCTGGCCACATGACCACAGAAACTCTCTTCGGACAAACACTGGCTCTATAGCTTGGAAACAGGACTGAGCACTGCGCCCTAGAGTTAGACATGACTGGACTAGTTGTCAAGGGGAACCTTTACCTTCTATTCTAGGTGTAATCCTGCCCAGATCAGCCTTTCTAGCCCTTTCATGGTTTGTTTTGGCTCAATTTCCTAGCAATGGAATCACTGTACAGTTGTTTCATGGCTTCCTGTCTAGACCTGATTTTCTACCCATTCACCATACTGCCAGTTGACCCACAGTTCACACCTCCTACTGCAAGGTAACCAATGATGCTAATGGACAGTTTTAAAACTTCTAAGCGCAATGGTAGAGGCATAATTCGGGGGTTGGGGGCATTACAGTATTGGGGAAGAAAAACTTCTAAGCGCAATGATAGAGGCATAATTCAGGGGTTGAGGGTTGGGGGCATTACAGTATTGGGGAAGAAAGCTTAGTCCATCTCCAGCAGTAGTTCCCCAGGGTTCCCATCATTGTGAAGGGTTTAAGAACCTTAAAGAGAACTAGATGAGTTTTTGTCCCACTGTCTCTGCAGTGTTCCTCAATATTCATTTCGATATTTGCTCTGTCCAACAAGAAACATTTGTGCGAATTGCAAGTAGATCTGATTATTTGGTATGCAGCATATTTTGTTTGGCCAGCAAGGCTTGTGGGGTTTTTCATAGCATTTCCAGTCACACTATTTTATGTTGTTTTTGACTTCAGTGATCACCACCTCTGTTGGTCCTTTGACGCAGGCATGTCCAGATGATAGCACTAACAATGGGCAGAGTGGGGCATGGTAAACCCTACACCATTGGCCTTCCTTCTGTTCGCTCTTCTAAGGACTAAAGCTGCAATGAAATTAGTAAATGCCTTGTCAGTTCAGCACTATTTTACTTGTTAAGCATAAAAAAGAGACAGAAGGGATTTGAATGTCAGCGAAAGGGGTGTGTAAGAGCATCGTGGTCATGGCAAAGAAGGCTGAGGGAGAAGGGTAGCTGTGTGCCATGTCGACATTTGAAATGCACCTTCCCAGGGATAATTAAACATTTATGTGTGAACTGCTGGCTCCCAGCACTGAAAAATACAGTGGACAAAAGGTCAATGAACTCTACCCAGCCACAAGGACCGGTGATCACTACACACTAAAGACCAGCTAATGATACCCATCAATCAGTGACAGATAATCTCTCCTCCTTATCACAACAATACACCCACAACAAAAACACACTGATCACCATTTTCCTGAAAAGGACAAAAACTGATCTCACAGCCATAAATACTCAGCTCCCAAACAAACTGCACCAGAGCACAGAGTTCTGACTCCTGTCCTCTGAAGATGCCGGCCACAGACACTGGTGAAACGTTAGGAAGAACAACCTTCAGAACACGGTCAAAGAGCCCGAAAAACCCACAACAACCATTAGATCCCAACCGTGAAAGCCTTCGCAAATACATTGAACAAGTTATTGAGAGAAATGGGTTCAGATCCCTACCCATCCTTGTAGCTGACAAGTTATTGAGAAAAATGAGTTCAGATCCCTACCCATCCTTGTAGCTGAGTGTGAATTCAGGCCAATCAGCTTCCCTCAGCAAAACCAGCTCACTGAGTTGTTGTGAGGATAAAATAGAGGCAAGAAGAATTGTGTATGCCACCCTGAGGTATGTGGTGCATTGCATCATGTAAGTGTATCCTGAAGTAGGAGCTTGGGAGCCTTTAAAGACTAGGAGAGGTGGGGGATCACCACCAAGCTCAGCTCTTAAATCATACAAGCCTGAGCTTGTTGCATGTGAACTTTGAAACTAAATACATTTATCTCAGGGGTCTACACTGCTAGCACACTCCTCAATGTGAGGAGAATTATCCAGAGTTGCCCTACATGCTAGCACAGACTAACAGAGCTACCTCTTCTAAACCCAGAGGTGCACAGACCACAGGGATTCCTGCTCCCAGAAAAGATGCTAATGTGTCTTTGTATCCCCTTCCTTCTGACCAGGTATCAGAGAAAGTGCTGCATCCGGATGCCACCAGTAGCCCCATGTACCGGAGCAACCAGACACTGGAAGGTCGTTGTGAGGAGAAGCAGTCAACTGATTCTGGAGCCTTCTCAATTGGGCTGTGATGAATAAAGACCCATAAAGAGGCCTGTAATAAATTCCCCTACATGGTCTACTCAGTGCTGTCCTGACACAACAGTCCTTCAATTTGAGCCTTCATACATTTTAGGGAACTGTAGTTGGCTGTTTTGTGTACATCATGTTCTCTGTTCTTCCTCTTCCTCCTTTGTATTTTTCTTCAGCAACACTTCATGACCCACCCCTCTCAAGTCTTCTCTAGCTCCTTTCCCACCTATTTTTGGGATAAATTGCCATAACAGAAGTATTACCAACCAATGGGGAGATTTCTTGTTCCCCAGCAGGAGGATACAAAGTGTTTTTTTGCATATTAACTGAAGAAACAAATGATATTCTGAGCAAATACTAAGAGAGAACAGATACAACTAAAAAATGTAAAGATTGGAAGTATTTACTGTATTGATTTATTTAAAATATTTCTACCCCATCGTTCTCCTTGAAAAGGACCCAAGGCAGTTTCCATCATTAAGAGTATTGCATCTTAAAAGTGAAAATATGCAGCATGCATATTGTCTAAATAATTCCTGCCTGCAATGCTTTTGCTATACCTGGGACAACTACCACCACTGCTATGTGGGAGGAGTGAATTGTCCATCGCACTTAGTTTTATCAGGGGGTTACTGGACTGTCAAACAGGGAGAAATAGTGGTGTGGGGAAAGGAGGAAGACACTTGTTCAGATTCACCTCATCTGTCAAATTGGGTGGCCTTAAGTGACATTAAGTGAATATATCTGAAAGAAAGCGAAATGCATGCAAAATCCATCAAAGTAGAAAGCATGGAGATGTTGTAATATTTCAAGCATTTAAAAAAACAATTCTGTTAATAATATTATTAGACACTCTGCACTGCAGTGAGGTGCGAAGGCAACGCTGTAGGTCTTTGAACGAGAGGTGCTGGAACTATATGTCTCTGTAATATCTGTTTTATTTACAAATATACAAAGAGGGCCTATTGGAAGAAAGCAGATTCTTGCAGCAAGAGACAAAAAACTGTGGAACTGCCAAATCTGGCCTGCCAAGGTGGCCCAGGGTGTCTCTGGTGAGCCCCTCATTCAGGCTCAGAAGGAAGAAAAAGCAGGAGAGTAAACCATCTGAGCCCTTAAGGTTGCAACTTGGCTAATCTGCTCTTCCCCGCTGCTGCAGCTCCTCCTTTCCCTGACTGGGAAGCAGAGCACAAAGTAGGCTTGGCCCTTAGCTGCAGCCTCGTGGAGGCAATCCTGGAGACTGAGTGCCTGCCTACTTTCCTTTTCTCAGGTAGTCCCATGGCTGAGGACATGTTTACATACAGGAGTGTCCAGCTTCCATTTTTGAAAAACTGAAAAGCTGCTGATGGCTACAGTGAGGAGTCAGGTTGCTACTGGTGGCTAGATACCTCCTCAGGACCAGTCCAGGGGGCTGTCTGACAATATCACCAACCCGTTTAGTTTTTCTCTACGCATAGAGAGGCAGGGAGAAAAATACTGGACCAACTGTCATAGGAATGGTTCCTCTACAGTACTTCAAGGCCAAAGGAAAGCCTGCCTCCATCTGCCACACACCATCCTGACTGAGGGAGCCAGTAACAATTGATGAGAAGACTACCATGTAGACGTGTAGCTTCTCCAGCTACCAGATCAATCACAGCTCAGGACTAAGGACACTACTGAGCCCTGAAGGAATTGCTTTTCCTGATTATGTCTGGCTCACCTGCTTGGGAGGGCTGGCCCCTGTTGGAAAAGGAACATTTGCTTGCGTTCTGGAATCGTTCAGACTGTCTGACTCACAGCCACCCAATTCCCACTTTATAAGAGGCAGTCACACAGACAGAAGCTACAGGTACTACAAAATGAAATATAATTGCCTTTACTCATGGGGTGATATTACAAAGGAGGTGACAGTGTATGCTTTTCCATTTTGCTGGCAAAACCTTGCATCCTACTGAAGGCATGAGTCAGCTTTCAGGTTACATAGAAAAATTACGTAAGTGAGCTTGGAGAAGATAACTCACAGAGAAATGATTATAAAAAGATTCAGTCGGTTAGAGAAACCTACACATCCTATGGCTTTATCAAATTATCTTAAATTTAAACCATGCTTCAGAAGTTGGATGAAGCATCTTCCCCCGACCCCCCCCCCAAAAAAAATCAATTAATTTTGTCAGAAGCAATTTCTAAACCCCATGCTTTTGAGGAAATGTCTCTGTTTCTGAAGCGGTAGTTTCACCATCTGTTAGATTATGTAAGATAGCTTTTGAGAGAGCAATTTAAATAATATATCTTCTGCAGAAAGTAAGAGCTTGATGATCTGATGCAACTATCTTAAGTAAACAGTGGGTTTGACAGAAACGCTATCAGTCTGCATAGCTTCCCATCAAGCTTAAGCAAAAAGCTTTGGCTTTAGGCAATGTAGGATTTATATATCAACTGAATAAACAACATATTAGGGTCTGAGATTATGAGACGGCTCAAAATATTACCAAAAAAAAGGAGTAATAATGCAAGGGCATCTTAGACTTGGCATACTTTAGGACTTCAGCATATCTGATTTCAGCCCTGGGTTGGGGGCTGCCAAATGTTGTCTATGGACTACATGTAGCCCTCTCACAGGGCATTTTGTAGTCAACAAAGGGATCCCCAAAGCCCATTCAAATAATAAAAAATAGATAAATAGATAAATAGATAG